CTGTTATGCAAGATCCCCTTTGCCTATACCTAATTTTGGTCAAGCAGCTTCATTCTACATTAGCAACAGACCATCTATTTTGGCAATTCACTATGTAGAGCATGGTAATAGGGTAACTAGATGACACAAAAGATAGATGCTCAGAGCAGTTGGCTGAGCTACAGTTTCTCGCTCAAGTAAATGGTTGATATCACATCTGATAAATCTGATAAATCATTAAAAAATGGTTCTGATCAAGCAGCATTCATATTACCTTATAACATCAAGCCCTGAGCAAGAGCTATGTCTAGACACTAAATTACACTTGCCCATTGAAACACCACCCCAGTAGAGATTGGGAAGCATGGAGACATATGTCTTTTCTTACATGTCCTTTCTGATCTAGTTAACATAATTTTAGGCTTTCCACAAATCAAACTGCACAATCCAATCTTGGGATTTTATTATACAAGTGCAGATGTACAATATCTCCCGAAAGCCTAAAGAAAGTGGAATAGCTGGACAGCATCTGCAATAAAGTTGCATTCAAACTCAGTCTCTCACCTAGCTCTCCAAAAGACAGCCAAAACTGAACAGAGATTGTAATTGAATTGAAATTACATAGTAAATGAAGCAATGACTAAGAAGAATTATGTATGTAGTAAATGAGACTACTCCATAGCATCACTGTATGGTGAATATGATACAAAGCACTACTGGTGTCTTGCTGATCACACAGAGTGTAGGGTTGCTTTGAAGAGTTCTGTTTATGTCCAAATGCAACTGTCTGTGCATAACAAGGATTCCACAGCATACTGTCACAGCTCCTAATACCACAGCTGGTACCAATTCAAAACAATTATATCCTCAAGTAATGAAGCAATATGTAATGATCAGATATCATAGACATCAGGCTTCTCGTCCAGGCTGATAACAAATGCCAGCTTGACAAGTGTTGTTTCCATGCTATGTCCAGGCTGAAATGTATCATCTACATCTCCAAGTGTTCCTGCAGTTGATTGCTCTTATCTTCAACAGCCTTGGCCAACATGGGAGATCAGAGAGCAATCCAAATGTCAACACTTCCCAATTCTCCTGTCAGGCAGGTACCAAACCATAAGGCTCATGTAATACCTTCACCAACTCAAAGTCTAAAACTGGTCGCAAATCCTCCCACCAAAGGAATTTGAGCCTTCTATTTGCAGCAATAACTTCCTAACCAGGCTAGCGTGTTTGCAAAATCTTACTATTCTTAACAAACTCCAGAAAAATAGATCTTCAGTTACTATATATAGTTCAGATGACTAAAATAGATACATACACTAACCAGGATTGATAAATAGAGAGACAGGATGGCTGACGTAATATATTTTATTAGACTAACTTCTGCTGTTGGGAGAGATAAGGTTATGAGCTACAAAGAGATCTTCTTCAGGTCAGTTTGCCCATCTTATCTCGCTAGTATTCTGGGATTCAAGTTTGGCCTTACAGATGGGTGACGTGGATGACTGCCCAGGATGCCAAGGCTGGAGGCCACTGGTGTCTAGAAGCATGGCAGGTTTGGGGTGTGAGCATGGAGGCAAGCCCTTACCCCCACCTACAGTCCCACCCCCTCTGCTGAGGTGTCCCATACCACCATGGGGACGGATGAGAAGGGGGTGAATGCATGCGCACGTATGCCCCTAGTCTCCCCAGCCCAGAGCTCCAGGGAGAGAGGAGAGCACATGACTCCAGCTGCCCCAGTCCCAGAGCACAGGGAGGGAGGAGAGTGCTGGGGGAAGCAACACTCCACTCCCAGAACGCCTACAGCAGGCATTCTGGGGTGGAGTTTGGGAAGGGCCGTGCCTGGCAGTTTGGGAAGGCTGTGCCTTCCCTCGCCTAGGCTACTGGACGCCCATGGGTGTGAGGCTGCAAAGGGAGATCAGGGTAAGGGTGGAAGGAAGGCAGTAGGGGAAGAGGGTTGTGAGCAGTGTTCCATCTAAGCTGCGTGGTGCACGGAGATGGCTGACTGTGCAGGGCTGATTAATCACCTGTGAAGCTGTGCTGTGGCACAGCTTAGCGGAAACATTGGTTGTGAGGAGACAGTGGAAGCTGTGGGGGGATGGATGGGAAGGAGGGATGGATCAGAGAAAGGGGAGGTGGGTGGATAGACGCAAGGGGCATAGGAGATAGGTGGGGAGCCTCTGAAGGCAGCAAGAGCTAGGTGGCTGAAAGGCTGGGTTGTGGAACCCAGAGAGGCAGCAACAGGGTCCAAGGTAGGGATGTAATAGTAAAGTTGATTAACCAATAAGCAAAAGCTTCTCGCTTAATACTATAGACTACACACATTTCCTGTGCCCCCTCCTCCTTGCCAGTACTGTACATTTTTTAGCAGGCTAGCCAGCAGTCTGGCTTAGTCCTGGCTTGTGCCGGGTCCGGGACCTGCCCCCCCCCCCCCCCCCCGTCGGCCGAGGCCAGATCAGCATTGCTGATTGATTTCACTGGGGCTAATTTACATCAGCTGAGGATCTGGCCTAAGGAGAGAGCATTTAGCTGAAATGTTTGTCTGCTAAACTGGGAGGTGGGGATCAGTTTTATTGGATCTGCAATTAGAATCATTCAATAATAGCCACATTTTAATTTTGCTGTGCTGACTTCCCTGAGAGTGGAAATTTAGAGTCTGATTTTCCACAGGCACTAAGCATTCACAATTCAAATGGAAGGCAATGGGCTCTGTGGATATTTAACATCCTGGAAAATTAGACCCCATAGCCCAGCTCATGAAACATGCTTAGGTGTCTACCTCTTACTAAAACCAACTGAATTGTTCATCAAAATCAATCTGGATCAGGTCCAATGTGCTGCAGTTTTGCTTATGATGCTGTTAAGAAAAAGTAAAGATTTTCATGATTGCAGGATGAACAAAGTGTCAGAATTGTTGTAGACCAAGTAATTCTGATTAGTTGACTAATAAACCAAGATGTCAGAGACATTACATTGAATTTTAAAGACAGACATTCTCATTCAAGTTAAAAAAAACCCTTCCACCTCATAGAAGTAGTATGCATTGGGAAGGTCTGAGACACAAACATAAATTTTGGAAAAAAATAATTCTGCATTTGAAAGACATCTTTGCTTTAGCCAATGTGCCACACCATTGAAATCCCCTACACAGAGAAAAGTCTGAGCCAATACCTGGATCCAAGCACACTCAGGGTGCATCTAGACAGCGGCGCTATTTCGGGTTACTACTGGTGTCCCGGAATAGCTATTCCGTGTCTTTTAAACAAGCTTTTAAGTAACTTTCAAAATAACAGGCTTGCTATGCCAACATCCTCGTAATCCTTGTTCCATGAGGATTAAGGGATGTTTTGGAATAGCATTCTATTTCAAAATTTGGTACTGTGTAGACAGCGCCAAATTTTGAAATAAACAATTTCAAAATACACTCAAAATAAGCTATACAATTTGCATAGCTCAAATAGTGTATCTTATTTCGAGCTAAGGGTGCAGGGTAGATGCACCCTCAGACTTTGAGGGTGGGGATATTTGAACTAAGACCTTAATTCTGCAAATGGTCCCCCTAAGAATGGGCAGAACCAACATTCTGGGCTCAAACACCCAGACACTTTTTTCAGGTGTCAAAATCCAGATTTATATTCTGAATATTGAGCCCATAGCTATTTCTAACAGAATCTCAGTGCTGCTCTGTTCGGAAAATAACTATGCAAACATGGCGCCTGCTTACTCAAGAGATCTACTTCGTGTACCAATCATATGTGCTGATTTTAGCGACTCAGTTAAGATAGTTACTACTCTTTATTCCTAGTATGTCTACACTACAGAGGAAGATTGAAGCTTCCGCTGTCTATCTACAAGGATATGAATTAGTGGTCAAGTTAAGACAGCTTATTCGAAGTGAGGGGGTACTTGATCAATGCCAGTAACTGTGCTTTCATGAGAAGTTAGGGAAGTCGAAGGAAGAGTGTTCTTCCTTTGACTTCCTGCAGTGTAGACAGTGCCAAAAGCCAAGTTAAGCTACTTCGACTTCAGCTACACATTTAACATAGCTGAAGTTGTGTATCTTAACTCAACTTTGTCCCATAGTGTAGACATACCCCTATTTACCTTGCAGATCCAAAATGTCTATAAAAGAGTGAGCTGGATTCTGTTTCTTGTTCATCAACAGGATTGTTAGCTATTCTCCAGTCACAGTCAATCAGACCTGTGTAAAAATCAATGGGTTTGCATCAATGAAATAACCTAGAGTATCATTTAAAAGCAATGGGATTTCAAGGATAATTGAGGACTGAATTGGACTTTAAAATCTTTATTACTTTCAAATGCAAAATGATTGATAAACACAAGGGCCACGTCTACACTGGCCCCTTTTCTGGAAGGGGCATGTTAATTTCAGCTATCGTAATAGGGAAATCCGCGGGGGATTTAAATATCCCCCGCGGCATTTAAATAAAAATGTCTGCCGCTTTTTTCCGGCTTTTAGAAAAGCCAGAAAAGAGCGTCTACACTGGCCCCGATCCTCCGGAAAAAGCGCCCTTTTCCAGAGGATCTTATTCCTACTTTGAAGTAGGAATAAGATCCTCCGGAAAAGGGCTTTTTTTCCGGAGGATCGGGGCCAGTGTAGACGCTCTTTTCCGGCTTTTTTAAAAGCCGGAAAAAAGCGGCGGACATTTTTATTTAAATGCCGCGGGGGATATTTAAATCCCCCGCGGATTTCACTATTACGATACCTGAAATTAACATGCCCCTTCCGGAAAAGGGGCCAGTGTAGACGTAGCCAAGAAGAAAGAACCCAGCATAACTACCAGACTGAGGAAAAGTTTCAGGGCTGGCAGTTAGGAAAAAAAATCTATTAACTGAGCACTTTGGCAATGTATTAATTGAGAGGCAATAAATAGTCACTTTTATAGCTACTTCCAGAGCAGAAACGTGATTTGCCAAGATTCACTACAGCAGCTTAAAAAAAAAAGCTACTTAGCAAGAATTCTCGGTTACAATAAAAGTTTTGTTTTTGAATGCAGATTACAAAAGCATCACGAAGAAGATTAAATGTCAGTTTAGCCTATTCAGCAAATCATCAGATTCGAGTCTCCCGACAAGATTACAAACTATTTCGAACTTTGTTTCTGCTGATGATCTCTTTCTTCATCATGTGGAGTCCAATTGCTATCACTATTCTCTTAATTTTAGTTCAGAACTTCAAACATGATTTAGATATTTTGCCATCATTTTTCTTCTGGATAATGGCATTCACTTTTGCCAACTCTGCTGTCAATCCAGTTTTGTATAATGTTACCCATTTCAGACATGAATGGCGGCAAGTTTTTTCATGTTGCACAGCTCTTCCTGGAAGGAGAATGACTAGTACGGAAACCACGGCAAGAAGAAATGACCAGAGACAACCTAACATATCCGTAATTTCCAAATAATTTACAAACTATGACTCAACTGTTGCTTTGGCTGCTAAACCATACACTTTTCCACACTGACAAGCTCCCCATTTTATAGTATTATGTGCTAAAGAAAGCATATAGAAAAATAATAAATGTATAGTTAAACTTCTACATTCCTAACCTAGGCAAAGTTCACTTGTCTTGGGAGTTTTACCTTACTAACGACTGCAGAATTTAATCCTCTCTTCTCACACTGATGTAATCAAGAGTAACTTCACTGACATTGGTGGAAGCACAGGTTTGTGAAACAGTGTAACTTCTAATAATTAGGCTTTTCAGGGCAGCTGGTATAAGTTGTCCATTGATTACAGTGGAGCCCGGGCAATTTACAGCAGCTGAGGATCTACCCTAGTTTCACTATTTGCCTTTTTAAATGGGTGTAAAAAGTGCACCTTCAAAAATGTGTACTCACTAAGTCCATAACATTAAAAAAAGGTGTTTACATGCACAAATTAGGTGACTGGCTGCCTAAACATGCTTTTGTGAAAATCATCTTTATGTATAAAATGCCAACCTGAACAACCAAATGTGAGTTTTGCTGGTTCAATGAGCATATGATCATTTTTGCTGGTATGTCCTACATCTGAAAATTTGGTCCTTATAACTAGTTAATGTCTGGCACCATTTTTGTTGGACTTAATGTTACAGTAGATAGAATTGTTTATTTTTCTTAAGCATGTAAAAATAAGGTAATTACAAATTGTGTATTTTTACACATCTTCAGTCCACTATGAAGTGTAATAAAATAAAAATATTCTCTGATGTGGTCAATGAATTTCCTTTTGTATTTAAATACTATTTTGCTTTCCAGTGAATCCAATAAAGATGATGCACTAAGTCAAGACGGCTTTTTAAAATTAAATAGATAATATGGGATTTTAAAAAATTTGCCTGCAAAATTATTGGACAAAGTAAAAAAAAACAAACAGCCAAATAACAAACCTATGAAAGATTACATACTTAAATACTACCACCTGTATTCCTTATTCTAAACATTGCAGTAAAATAATGGTTTTGCCAATAAAACATCTTCTCTCTATATTTACAGATTATTCATTTCCTGTTATTCACATTTATTAAAAGTTTCATTGGTTTATTGACAGGGTGAGCTACAGAGCTCAGATAAATATATTTTAAGTCTGAGAAGCTGTTTTAAAGGTTAACATAGTCACTCTGTAAACTTTACATCCGCATTGATGTTACATGATTTGTTTCCATAGTTTCAAAACTCCTCAAGAGCAGAATCCTGAAACAAACAAAATAAAGTTAATGTTTCTAAAACAGCACTAGAAATATAAAAAATACCACATTTACAGTGTGTGTAAATGTATTTCCTTTAAAAATGGTCTTACACTTATCAGTCTATTACTTGAAAGGTGTTTCTGTTCTTTAGCTCTGTACCACATAATTTCAAAGGATTTTCACCTTCACATAGGACAGGAATTAATCAAACCTGTTTCATATGTTCCAGACAGTAATGCTAAGGCCAAGAAGGAGTTCACACAGATTACCCATGAGAAACATTTCAAAATATATTTACGTCAGCAAGATTTACCATACTTTTCATTTAAGATCACAAAAATATCAGTAACAGACTATCCTACTGCACATACATGTATTTTCTTGTGGAGTTTTGCTTTTAATACATGTTAATACAAGTCCTAATCGCAAATAGTAATAACTTGCTCTGCAACCAATTCCATGGTCAATATAAATATTTGAGATGGTTTTATTGCCACTAGGAATACTCACAGTGGACAAAACTGGGATACCTTTACCCACATTAGGAAATACCTTAATCCACAGGCAGGCCACTGAGCTCAAGGTACTAAGATAGTACTCAATGCAAGTAAGAGCAAACAAACCTGAACCACAATCAGTAAGAAATGTTAGAGGACAAGAGGACTGTCAGGAGACAAGTTCCTAACTTTTGTATTTAATGATCTGTTAATTACTGGGGCTCTGTGCCCTGCTCGCTACGTTCACCAACCCCCCCATTCTCTGGCCAGAGAGCATGATGACATCATTCTGTTGCCCATCAGGAAAAATTGATTTATAGAGAGATATTTTTAGTTTGGAGGGTATATTTCCAATTTAACTGTGCTTTTAAAAATAGTGTTAAAGACAATTGCAAATATTTTGTGGCAAATTAATACAGATTTGGACCTCCCCTGGACCTGACTGGTCCCTGATGATGGAATTTTCCGGACTACTGGCTCCCCTTCTAGCTTCCAGCCAGCTCCCCAACTCCTGCTGATCCCGCTGCAGGTGCTCCGGGACCTACCAGGCAGCCCCGTGCTATGGCTCCGGGACTTGCCAGGCAGCCACACACATTGCGCTGGGGATTTGGGACCTGCAGGGCAGCCACGCACACCGCACTGAAGAATAGGCCCAAGGCAGGCAGGAGATGGAAGAAGAGGAGGAAGAGAACAGGCTCCTGCCCCCCAGCCTCCTATACCCCCCTCACATACCCAAGACCCTGTCCTGAAGGATCCAGACAACACCGATTAATTCATAAATTTATAAATTGTAGATTCATAGATTCATAAATTATAAAGCCAGAAGGGATCACTGACCATCTAGTCTGATCTCCTGTATATCACAGACCATAGGCCTTCCCTGAATTAATTACTGCTTGAATAAGAACACATCCTCCAGACAAACTACTAACACATCTGTGTCATCTGGGAATCACAACCCTGGCTCATAGTGCAGATGTAGCCCATGACTATTTACTTTCTGTCTTGTGAGGGACTCTGTCAAAGGCTTTTTAAAAGTCTAAATAAATTATATCTACAGTTCTCCTCTGCCTTCTATTTTGCTGACATCCAAATAATTCTAATAACCTAGACACAACTTTTCTTTACGGAAGCTCTGATGATTTTGTCCCTTTCAGGTCATATTAATCTAGGTGTTTTACAACTCTCTTTAGCAGTTTCCACTAGGGATGTTAAAATGCGTGTAATTAAGTAACTGTAACTGCTGAAAATGTCAGTGGTTACACGGTTACACCCAGGGGACAGACAGCTCCCTGGGAATCAGTGTGGCTGGGGAGATGGTTTTTAAGCTGGCTCCCCATGCATCCTACCTGCCCCCTCCCGCTGCTGCCTCTGGTGGCTCCCTGGGAGCTGGTGCACATAGGGAGCCTGCTTAAGCCAGCTTCCTGCGTGTACTGGGAGTCTGCATGTAGCTGTGAATGTTAACCGATGAACCCAGGCTCATAGAAACAATATTACAGGAAAAGTAACAATGGTATATTTGAGATTCTGAGTTTTCTATAAGAAAAGATCATATCACAGCCAATAAGTACAGTTCTTTCTACTATCCCTGCCCATCAGAGAAAGAGCTTTCTAGCATGGCAGTCATTTCACCTCCCGAATACATTTTTTCTGAAAAAAAAAATAGACTCTTACCATTATGTATAATAAGTCTGTATTTTCTGTCCAAGCAGAGGTCGACCTGTCTTTGTCTGACAATTCTCTGTGCCTCTAGTGGCAATCCCTTTGGGTCCCGGGAGAACACAAAGGAGTAACTATCAGCACATGTGCCATCATCATTTAGTAGGCGGCAGGAATAATGAAGGGCGTAAGTGTCATAATCTGTGTCGACCACCCAGTGATCATCATCTGGAAGAAACCATAGAGAAGGTGCAAGGAAGTTAGAAATAGAAGGAGAGATTAACCTAAAGATAATTCAGTATTTATCCACTCTCAGAAGAACACCACAGTTTAGCTGTAATGATTGCAAATGGTCCATAATGGCCCTAATCTTGATGGACACTGGGCACCCACAATTGTTACTGAAATACTGGAAAGTTGAAAGCTCCTGGTACCGCTCAGGCTCAGACCCAAGAAGTTAACAAACCTAAATTTTATGGTGATGCATTTAGTTGATTAGAGGAAATAAACCAGCGGGAATCAACTGGACTGAGTAACATGGATTCACCTGTGGCCTCTTCTTGGCCAACAGGTGGGAAGTTGTCACCCAGGGAAAAGTATCATCTTGAGGTAATGTGGTCCCTCTAAAAATCATTCCTACTTCATATTCAGTTAACGTGGAAAGAACCTGCCACCCACCTTAGGAAGTGTCCATCAGGATTGGTCACAAGTGTCATACTGTTTGAGAGTCTACTCTTCAAAGGGGGGACACCCTTGTCCAGCAAAGTACTATCAAAACTGATATTGTGTTGTCTCTACCACCTCCACAGTGCAGCACTCTTAGCAATAATGTGGGCCAATAGCTGTGGAACCTGCCTTTATAGTACATAATGGATTGCATTATTTTTAAAATACATATTATAACTAAAGATGAGTCTGAAAAGCAGATCTGAAACCTGGATGCAAAGTTTCCATTATACAAGAGCAATTGGAGCCAGGGTCTTGGCTCATGTTTATTTTTAACCCTCCAAAAAAACAGGTTGAATATTTCCAGACATTGCTTCTCCCAAAAAGAAGAAATACAGTTTTCATATTTAATGTTTTTATGCTATCAAGATAAAATCTTTGACAGTCACCCATATAGTTCTGCCTGTTTGTTTCATTTGTGCTATTTGAATTTAAATAATGGAAAACGTTTGCCCTCACAACCAGACTTCTTTTGCTTAAATTTCAGTGATATTCCAATCCTTTCACAAGCAGTGTGACAGCATGAAAGTTGCACAAACTGAACAAACTGCCCCCGCGCGCCCAGTTGCAGCTGTAAGGTGCGCAGCGTGCCGGGGGCGGGACCACGCATGCGCTGTGCGCCCGGGGGCGAAGCTGCGCATGCATCATGCGCCCACTGCCCGGGGCACAGGAATGGCTCGAGCTGGCCCTGCTTGTGTACAATGGTGAATATAATCTTTTAAGGACTGAAAACATAATATTTAAAATGGTCAGCCACATGGTTAAACTGGAGAAAATGAATATTTTCCTGCTGGTCATGCACCAAATTACTCATAGCTCGCATAGTCCCATTACCTTCTTGAAAGCTGTTTTCCTACCACAGAAATGTTCTACACTGTTTGTGTGGAAAAAACATCATACTATTGCCTCTTAGGTTTCTTATAAATTTGTATTTGCTGGGCATATGCAAAGAGATGTATCACAAATCCTAATCACAATTTGCAGTTAGAATTTCAGACAGTTCTCGGCTATTTATCACTCAATTAATGTCCTGCTAAGCTCCTTGCATCCACAGAAATGAACCTGGAAAAGGGGGAGGGTTTTTTAAAAAGGGAGGGTTGCTATCCCCACACCATGCTTCTCTGGGCCTCATAACCCTCATCCACACAATTTGGCTAGGTTGTGCTGGCCATATGGGCTATACCAGGTTCTCCCTCTCCCTCCTTTTCCCTCTTCAGGAGACCAGAGTTTGTAGCAATGTATTATACAGAACTCCCTTCTCTGCAGTGTGGGGCAGCCAGCAAGTAAGGAAATATGGCTTAGCAGTGAGCTGGCAAGAAAGTGGACAGCAGGCCAGAAGCAAGTGGCTTCCTGAAGATCCCTTGAGAACTGTGTGTTTGGAGCCCACCTCCCCCCCATGGAGATTCCTCAAGTAAAGAGTGCTGGAGTTTCCACTCCTCTAGATGGGTTAAGCTCAACAGGTGAGAATGAGGATCAGTATTAATATGTTAAGAGTTTGTCAAAAAAAAAAAAAAAAAAAAAAAAGAGCCAGTCCCTGCATTCATGAAGTATCCACAATGGGTAAGAGCCAAAATAATCCTCCTCGTCCAGTTTGTAGACAACGGAATCTGACATTAGGCTTTTTCAAGAACGTTATTCAAATAAAAAGCAGATCTGAATTTAAAAGAGCTCATAATCTCTACTTTCTGTTCCTTCCATGTGGTGGTCATAGTCTATACTGTGTGGTTTGAAAGGAAAATAAATGTATGAGCTTTTCCATGCAAAGACTAACCAGCTAACACACGTGAAAATTAGAAACTGCCTTGTCCACTCTTGGATAACCATGCAGCAGTTACCATGTGTTAGCTAATGTGACTAAAAACATCCCCTTTTTCTTCAAGTAGCTGCACTAAAATGAACAAGTGTTATCACACACTCCTGAGTCTCCTGCTGTAAAAACATCCCATTCCATATGAGTACTTACTTCCCTTCTGGAGAAAAGAGGCTACCCCCCAGTACTTCATCTTGAACTTGGCAGGATCCTCAGTGTCAGTGAAGGAGCCCACCATATCAGCACAGACATCCCAGTTACTGCAAATAGGGCAAGACAAAAAGACACTGAGCTCATACCTGGCAGCCTGGATTTGGGGGTCAGTTAGTGGTGAACAGTTGGGTACAAAGTAGGGCTGGAGCCTTGGGGAACAGAGCATGTCAGGACTCTGTGGAAGCCAAAAGGGGAGAGAAGGAAGGGTGCCAGGCAACCTACTTGAACAGCCGGACTCTGCCCTTGGCGGTAGCGCTCATTTGTCCGTTCTCATCTACAGTAAACGTGGCTACCACGTTGTCCTGCAGGAACAGCCCCGTGGGGTCTTTCTTGGCCATGGCGTACCAGGTGCCAGAATACTGCAGGGAGAGGAAAGATTCTTGTAGAGCCTGGGGGCACCACACAGCAGGCCTAAGTGTGGACCATAAAAGCTGGATCGACCTAACTGTGCAGGACTCTGCCAATCTTTAACCCCAAGCTTCCAAATCATACCAGCAAATTACAGAATAAACCCAGCTGCTCCCACCACACAAAAACAATTCAGCTACAATGCAACCAAGAGTACAAGCACCATAGAGGCTCAGATTGAGCAGCTGGATCTAGCCAGGCTTTGACCCCAATCCTCTCACTTCTAATGTCTAAAAACGGAACACAGATAGCAGCATCTATAGCTTGCTATGAGAATACAAATAATCAGAGTAATACTGCTCAGCACACAGATGATGCAGGATTTTTGCACTGGGCCTAGAGCAACTGAAGGTACAGGAGAAGCTGCTGCCATTTCTTTGTTTAGACCTTATTGCTGTTTAAGCCTCAGAGTTTGGGGTTCTGTGCCACAAGCTGCTTGCACCCATGTGCTGGATCTGGCTATTTGGTGCTCAGCACTGGAGGCTGTGTTTGGCACAGGAGGAATGCTGGATTGGGTCTCTATTCTGATAGTCCATTTTGGATCTTGGGGGCAGAGTTTGGCAAGATCCAAGGAGAGCCAGCACTGGAGGGTGGAGAGGGGAGTGGACACCTACTCGAGCCTTGTCGAAGTTCTCCTTGACTTTGAAGCTGCTCACTCTGCAGTCCCGTTCCGCTCTGCATCCGCAGCCCAGCAGGCTCAGGGCCACCAGCAGCAGCCATGCCAGGAATCGCCCCTCCTGAGCCATCTTACTCCTACCACAATAGCAAACAGAGACAGACCACATTATCAGCAGGGGGTAGGGGTCCAAGGCAGGTCTCCCAAACATATCGGGTGTCCCCAAGATGCTCAGAGGGTCCCCCAGAGCAGTCCCCTCAGTGGGGTCCCCAATGCCTGCACAGTAGAGTGCCCTCAGCACCTAGAGTGGGTGCTTCCCCATGCACCCAGAAATGGGGTGCCCAGACATCCAGAGGGCACCCCAGTGCAGAGATTGGCTGCGCAGTCCCCACTGGCTCTGCAGAAGGGCTGCAGCATTTCCGGCCGCACCCCTGAGCGAGCAGATTCAGCTCACGCGGAACAAGAGATGCTTGGCCAGCTGGGTGGAAACCTCTCTCTTCCAGAGCAGGGCTGGTCCCCACAGGCAGCCGGTCTGCAGCCAAGCGCTGGTGCAGGCGAGGCAGGGCTCGAGAGCTTTATACAGCGGGGCTGCCCTTGCATCACTTCGCGGGGCGAAAGACTAACGTGGGGAGGGGGAGGCCGGATCGATTCCTGCT